CGAAATCAATAAAATAAAATTTTTTTAAAAAGGTGAGATAAAAAAATAGAGAGAGCCCTGGCCAGCGTGGCTCAAAGTTTAGCGTGTCAGCCTGCGCACTGAGGGGTCACAGGTTTGATTCCTGGTCAAGGGCAAGTACTTCGGTTGTGGGTTCACCCCCCCGCCCACGTCAGGGTGCATGTGGGAGGCAACCAGTCGATGTCTCCCCCACATTGATGTTTCTCTTTCTCTCCTCCTTCTACCACCCTCCCTTCCACTATGAAAGGCAATGGAAAAAATATCCTCACACAAGGATTAACAAAACAAAACAAAAGATATTGGAGACAAATGAGAATAGCAAACGACATATCAAAACTTCTGGGATGCAGGGAAAGCAGTACTAAGAGGGAAGTTTATACCATTACAGGCCTATCTCAAGAACCAAGAGAAATCCCAAGTAAACAACCTAACATCATGTCTTAAATAACTAAAAAAAAGAACAAAAGCAACCCAAAGTCAGCAGTAGAGAGGAAATCCTAAAAATTAAGGCAGAATTGAATGAAATAGAGAACAAAAAGACTATATAAAAGATTAATACAACAGAGAGCTGATTCTTTGAAAAGATTAATGAAATTGACAACCCCCTGGCTGGACTCACTAAGGAAAAAAGGAAAAAGACCCATATAAACAAAATAAAAAATGAAAGAAGTCACCACAGACATCACAGATACACAAAGGGTCACACTAGAATACTATGAAAGACTATATGCCAACAAATTCAATAACCTAGAAGAAATGGGTAAGTTCCTAGAAATATATAACCTTCCTAGACTAAATCACTAAGAACTGGAAAATCTAAATAGGCCCATGAACAGTGAGGAAATTGTAACAACCATCAAAAACCTCTCAAAAAAAAGTCGAGGGCCAGTTGGCTTCACCAGTGAATTCCACCAAAGGTTCAAAGATTTGATACCTGTCCTTCTCAAACTCTTCCAGAAATTGAAGAAGAGGCGATACTTCCTAACACATTTATGAGGCCAATACAACCCTGATACCAAAACCTGGGAAGGATAACACACAAAAAGAAAACTACAGAGCAATATCTCTGATGAATCCAGATGCAAAAATCTCAAACAAAATATTAGCAAATCAAATATAACAATACATTAGAAAAATAATACAACACGATCACGTGGAGTTCATTCCAGGGGCACAGGGATGGTTCGACATATGCAAATCGACCAATGTGACACACCACACTAACAAAAGAAATGATAAAAATCATGTGATCTCATCAATAGATGCGGAAACAGCATTGGATAAGATGCATCATCCATTTATGATTAAAACACCCAATAAAATAGGTATAGAAAGAGTGTACCTCAGTCTAATAAAGACCATATGTGACACACCCTTAGCCGATATCACACTCAATGGTGGGGAACAACGCTTTTCCTCTAAGATCAGGAACAAGACAAGGACGCCCACTCTCACCACGTGTTCAGCGTAGTCCTGGGAGCCTAGAGCAGTCGGGCGAGGGGAGAGATAAAGGCATCCAATAGGGAAGGAGGAAGGAGAAGTGTAATGTTTTACAGATGCCATGATTCTGTACATAGAAAACCCTAAAACTCCACCGAAAACCTATTAGAAATAATAAACAAATAGAGTAAATTTGAAGAATACAAAGCCAATGTACAAAAATCCAATTAAAAAATGGGCAGGGGACCTAAACAGACACCTCTCCCAAGAGGACCTACAAAATTGCAATAGATACATGAAAAGATGCTCAACTTCACTGGCTCTCAGGGAAATGCAAATGGAAACTACAATGAGAGACCAACTCCCACCCGTAAGAATGGCTCTTATCAGCAAGACAAGAAAGTAGTGTTGGCGAGGCTGTGGAGACAAGGGAACCCTCACTCACCGCTGCTGGGAACGCAGACTGGGACAGCCACTGTGGGAATCCGTGTGGAGCTTCCTCAGAAAATTAATAGAGCGACCATGTGACCCAGCAATCCCTCCCTGGATATCTACCTAAAAGACTCGAAGCATTTCTTTGCAAAGATTTACGCACCCCTATGTTCGTTGCTGCATTATTCACGGTGGTCAAGATACGCAGACAACCAAAGTGCCTGCGATAGAGGACTGGCTAGAGAGGCCGTGGGACGTGGACGCAGGTCACACCACTCAGCCACGAGGAAGGGTGAAGTACTGCCGTTTGAGACAACATTAGTGGACTTTGAGAATATTATGCTAAGCGAAATAAGTCAGAAAAAGCTAAGACCCATTTGATTTCACTCACGTGTGGGACATAAAACTAAAAGTCATAGACACATGGTGGTTGTCAGAGAGAAGGGGGAGTGGGGGGAACAGGGGCCACATATATGGTGACAGAAGATGGTTTGACTTTAGGTGTTGGTCACAAGAGGCAATATACAGATCATGTATCACAGAAATGTACGCTTGAAACCTATATGATCCTATCAACCAATGTCACCCCAATAAATTTAATTTTTTTTAAAAAAAAGAAACTGTGACCTCTACTCCCATCCCAGGGACTTGTCCGCCTCACTGAGAGTCCTAATCTAGAAATTAAACTGGAAGGTGAAACCTGTATCCTAATATCTAAACCTAAAATCAGAAAGAACCCCAAATCCTTTCTCTATCTTAGATGCAAATCCCCCCAAACCAGAGAGAAATGTCGTTGACCTCTGCCAGGGTTAACTGGCTGTGCATGGCCAAAGGGCCCTGCCAATTTGGTTCTGCGTTTCTAGAAAAATGGCTTCAGTGGCTTTCAGCAAGTGTGCTCCTGCTCTCAGCCTCCTGATTTCCCTTTGCTCCCGCACTGACAAGACCCGCATCCACCTCACCCACCTGCTCTCTGCAGGCAGGAGTTGTTATCCGTGAACTGTGCAAGGCTATTCTGAACTAGTCCCCAGGCATAAACATTATTTTCCTTTCAGGGAGCAACATGGGCGACCCCCAGGCTTAACTTCCCTTCTGGCTTTTAATGTTTGAAAATTTGGGGGAAGAGAGCTAGCCTCCAGTAGATTCTCTTGGGTGAAGGAAGTGCAAGAAAGCTGGTGCTTCCAGGCTGGGCTCAGTGGGGACTCTTGCCCCCGGCACCCCCTGCAGACTGTGGTGGAGGTAGCAGGCTCCAGACAGAGAGCACCGGCTGTCCTCCGTGCCACTCCCTGATTGTGGGGTTGCTCCCCCGGCTCCCCAGAGCTCCAGGAACCCCAGGGTTCTGTTGCTAACCTGGTCAAGACAAGTGCATTTTGAGGGCCTCTGGCACCAGCCGTGACTTCAGAGACTGGCCCCTGCACGCCCAGAGTCCTTCAGGGCACTGGAACAAGCCGTGCTTGGTCTTGAGCAAGTGGACTTGGTGGAGACCGCCACTTGGCCACGTTGCCTTCCCCTTAGGAAAGATTTGCGTTCCCCTGAAATTAGGGAACAAAATGCTTAAGATTTAAAAAAGAAAAAGGCTGAGTAATAGCCTGTGGCCGAGATTTTTCTTCCCTCTCCAACCTTGTGCATGTCCTTTAGCTGCGCCGCCGGCCGATCGGTGCGGGGCTCCAGGCAGGTGAGCCGCTGACCTGCCGCTGGGGCCCGCAGAGGCCCCCGCAGGCGCCCGCAGACAGAGCCTGCTCCCCGCCTTCGCTACCCCTGAGCGCCGCTCCTCTGCCTGCTTCTAGGTCATCAATGTCGCCGGTATCTCAGTGGGATTCGGCTTATCTTCTGCTTGTGACACCCTCATGTCTCAGGTAAATGGAAGCCCAGGTCACTCTCACGGGGACCCTGGACATCTCCCTCGAGCACACCTGGAGAGCCCACTGGCAGGAAGAGCGTGTGCGCAGAGGGACAGAGCCTTAGCCCCGCAGCGCTGCGTCAGCCGTCAGTTCCCGTTCTCCCTCGCTTCCTTTAAATGTGGCTGGACGTCCGTCTCTCAGGCTTTGCAAGGAGTGTTTATCCACGTGACTCCCTTACGCTACATTTTGACCAAATAGGGGGCGTTTTACAAAAGCCCTTCTGTCACTTTCCACATAATTGAATTTGGTGTAGTCCATGGTCCTCAAACAAAAGAGTTCATCAGAATCACCTGGGGGCTTATTAAAACACTGGCTGGTGGGCTCCACCCAAGGGCATGCTGGTAAATGCTGAAAAACCAGGTCTTGGGTGGGGGGATGTTCATAAAATTCCCCTGGGCCGAGAGTCCAAAGAAAGGCTGACAACTCCAGCATTAGATCTAGAGTTTATTAAAGGAACTTACCGAGGAGGTGAGTCTTGAGTGGTTGGCAAGACCACATGTTTGTCCCCTGTGCCATGTGGCAGGCACTAAGGGGTCCCGTAGGACAGGCAGGGCGGGTGGGGGTTCGTGCAGTGCGACCCACCCCCGACGGGAAGGAAAGGCGCTGCGGGCTGCCCAGGCAGGGCAAGGGCCGGTCCCAGGGACCAGCGCAGACGGCACGCTGCGGGGCGGGGGGCTCCATCCCAGTGTCTTTTTGTCCCAGATCTAGCTGGTGGGTCTGGCAGCAGCCAGGCAGCAGTCACATCATGGAAAAGCTTCTCTTCCAATTGCACCCCATTCCCTCCTCTTCCTTGGGGCGCCTGAGCAATCAGCAAGAGGCTTCATTAGCAGGAGGGAGCTCACTCAGAGGCCAGTCGGGCACGTTAGGGACACAGTCCACAGCAACAATATAAACATGTGCAAGAAAAAGAAACAAATTAAAAGAAGGAATCCAAGTATTAGTAACCATGTTCCCATCATGCCCCTCAGGGCCCCAGCTAGTGTGCAGGGTCACCTGGACGTGGGATCGGGCACTTCAGGCGTTTCCGTGAGCCTTCGTATGTGTTAGCAAGGAAGTAGCAGATTCATCTGGTATAAAAAACAGCGTTCAGTCGGGGTGCCCCTCTCCCCCATAACTATTGGATGCCACAGGAACAGCAGAGCTAAGGTCAGAAAGACAAATATCCAGTAGGGACTTGAGTTGGGAGGCTGTCCTCTATGAGTATGACACTTGCGGCCTGGTCTTTGGATGTTAACGGAGCCGCGGCCTTGAGAACCTGGCCTGGCTGTGCAAATTCTGCATGTTGACCAGGGGAAGTGGTGCTTTCTGACATGGGGAGGTAAACGGGGAGGAATATGCCAGACCGGGCCCCTACCTGCTCCCCTCTTTCAATGGTGTGTGTACCAGGCCACATACAGTGTGTGTCCATGGGCCCCAACTATCCTAGGATGACAGGGCCCCACAGGAGACTGAGAAGTCCCTCTGCATCCATCCCAGCAGGATGTCCCTTTGCAGACTCCAGTAAATGTCCCCTGTCCCAGGGACAGTAGGCCTTGGTGCCCTTATGACCATGGCCCGTGGCCCATGGCAGGCATCAGCCCGGTTGCCGCATTCTGTATGGTATCAGGGCCCTCCGTCTGGCAGATGGGGCAACAGGCCCCCACACTTTGGTTATTTAAATGTTTTAATGCCTGGGGCCCTGGCACTCAGGTTCAGTCCTTAGTGTACCCCTCAGTTTTGATGATAGACATCTTATACCACGATAGGTCAGATTTCCAGCAACTTCACATAATTTCAGGAACATTTATATACAAATACAGCATAAAGAAGGCTCAGTGTTATTTCTTATTTAACAATGTTTCTTACGCAATTTCAACATACCGGGTAAGCCTCGTTTAATGTTTTTCTTTTGTAAGGAGAGAAAACAAATCTTTTTAGGTATTCCAGGAGCCCTCTAGAACACTTCCAAGCCATTTCAAGAAAAAGACTAATTTTGTATCAGATTACTCTTGATATTTAAACCCATGTACTTAATTAATCCAGCTTGACCACAGAAGATTTCTGTTCTCAAGATTACTTTTCACAAACCTCTATAAGTCTCCTTTTTTCAAAAAAAATATGTCTTTATTAATTTCAGGGAGAGGGAGAGAGAGATAGAAACATCGATGATGAGAGTCATTGATCAGCTGCCTCCTGCACGCCCCCAACTGGGGATCAAGCCCCAACCCGGGCATGTGCCCTGACCGGGAATCAGACCACGATCTCCTGGATCCCAGGTCAATGCTCAACCGCTGAGCCACACCGGCAGGGCTATACGTCTCCTTTTTATATTCATATTTTGTTCTGCTTTTCCTCTTTCTGTTCTGAAACAACCAGCTTCACTTTAGGACAAAATTACTTTCCTTTCTCTCAAAAATATATTTTCATATCTTCTTTAACTGAAAGCATATATTATTTTCCTTCCATCTCAATTAGAATTCTTAGTCCTTAGATGACTCAAAAACATGTCTGTTCTACATAAGCCAACAAACTTAAATTAGCTTTTATTTACTAAAGATTAATCTTCTATCCTGTGAACTTGAAAAGCATTTGGGTTAGTTTCTGCATTTCTGAGAATTTTAGAGTGCCAATCCTTATAAGTGCTTGTTTGTTTTTTTAAGCCAATTAAACACAGCTCATTTACAAATTAGCAATACCATCCAGAGGTTGAAAATATCAAACATCTACAACACATGTATAGACACACATGGATATACAGACAGATGCAGGCAGACCTCGCGGCCTCCATAAAAGAAGTGGGATCTAAAGAGACCTTTTCTGCACCTCCCACCTTTATCACCCAGTCCCAGTTTATTATCTTTTTCTAGTTTCAGTTCATCGTCTAATCTTCTAAGCCTGGCTTCTGCCTCAGGCTGGGTGTCGGTGGTCAGCCAACTACCCATAAGAGGGTCCGCCCTGAGCTACAGCCACGTGCTTCCCTTCCTCGGCCTGGCGTGTAAGGCGAACTTCTTCAAACAGAGGCCTGAGATCAGCCAGCATTTCCGAGGTGTCCCATGCTCACACGGCAGGCCGCACAAGTCCAGCGTATTGGTCACCCATCCCCACATGGAGGCCCTGGCCAACCTGCGATTTCCCCTGTGGATGCCTCTTTCCCAAGGCACATTTCTTGAGTCTCCTGGCTGGCTCGTCCGTTATTACATGTAAAATTTCCTGGGGCTGAGACACCAAAGAAAGAGGCTGACAACTATTATTACATCAAGAGTTTATTAAAGGAACTTACAAAGGAGGAGTGTCATCAGTGGTAAGATGACATGGATATTCTCCATGCTACATGACAAGTGCTAAGGGGTTAGATAGGCAGGGCAGGCTGGATAGGGGTACTTGGGTGTGACACCGCCTCCCCCCCCCCAATAAGGAAAAATGCCTTGTGTACGTGCCTGGGGAATAGGGGTGGGGGCTGATGAGACAGTCTCTGAGGGGATTTTCAGGAAGCTCTGGCCAGAATCTAGCTAGTGGTGGACAAGGCCTCATTCTGGCAGCGATCATGTCATGGAATAATCTCTCCACAGGGAGAGAAACATTTTGACTTGTACTGCTGGCTGATTCCAGTGGTGTAAATAACTCCCTCTAGCGAATTTCAGCATACCACACATAGATCACTGAACAGAGACCTGGGAAGAGACGTGCACAGTTTGGTTTTGGTAGCCAGTAGCAGCTGGTCCCAGCATGCCACTGGCCCTACCCCCAGAGTTTCTGCTTAATAGGTCTGGGGTGAGGCCTAAGATAGTGCATTTCTAACAAGTTTCCAGGTGATGAAACCCTGACCGAAAAGCTTTTAAAAAGTATTGCTATTTGGGCCCCAACCTGGACTGGTTAAATCCAGGCTGTCTTTAGTGGGACCCCAGTGTCAGTGTTCTAAAAATGTTCCCAGGTGATTCTAACAGACAGCTAAGTCTGAGAACCACTAACACTTAAAGGATGTAGCAAAGTCTTTAGGGCCATCTGTATCTTCATGAGGCATGATTGAAGACCTTGGTGGGGAGTGGGGGTGCTAATGGGTTTGTGTTGGCTGTGTGCACTCAGACCTACGGCAGCCCCAACAAGAAGCACGTGGGGGTCATCCTGCAGAGGGGCGCCCTCATCCTGCTGCTCTGCTGCTTCCCCTGCTGGGCGCTCTTCCTCAACACCCAGCACATCCTGCTGCTCTTCAGGCAGGACCCGGACGTGTCCAGGTAAGGTGGCCAGGCCAGGGTGGCATTGGGCCTCCCAGCAGACAGATGCTCCCATCCAAGTTTGGCCTCGGAAAATTACAAAGGCCAGGGACAAGGCCACACAGCAAGCGCCAGTACGCTTTCCTCAGGCGACTTCCACCAGGTCTTAGTGCTTTCCACAGCTAGCACCTAAGATCTAAACCCCCTCCTCACTGCGCAGCTTCAAAGGTAAATAGTTTGGAGAGAAATAAGATTTGCCAACATCCTCCATGCGAGATGGTCGTTTATGGTGTCTATTTGTGGTTTCATGATTATTGACCTTGGTTGCCTGGTCTTCCTGCCCTGCCAGCATTTTAATTGGTTGGGGTGCACCCTTGGCATCAGTGTCTTTCAGAGGTCACCTAGATGATGCTAATATGCTGCCAAGTTTGAGACCCATTGGTCTAGTTAAGAAAGACCTTTAAAAGTCCTCGTCTTAGACCAGTGGCTCTGACCCCAGGGGACATTTGGCAATGTCGGGAGACATTTCTGATTATCGGAACTGGCAGTGGGGCATCGCTACTGGTAGAAGCCTGAGATGCTGCAAACCACCTTAGGAAGCACAGGAAAGCTCCCCACAGCAGAGAGTGAACCAGCCGTGGTGCCCAGTTTGAAAAATGCTGTCCTAGACCTAAAGACTTAGAAGAACCAAGAGAGGTAATTTGGATTATATGACAAGTTCTATTGTAAAATTTCACATTTGCTTCAGCAGCTCAAGTCCATTAATTTAGAAAGAGCCAAGACTGTGAAAGGCAGTTACAGCGTTGGCCCTGCCTCCCTTTTCCTTGAAATGGAGACCTCCGTCACTTTCCTTTTCTTTTTATTGTGTAGGCTCACCCATGCCTATGTCCTGACCTTCATGCCAGCTCTTCCTGTAAGTTTTCAAGTGTTACGCTCTTTTCTTTTTGTGGTTCACTGATGAAAAGCAACTGAGATACCCATGAGCTCAATGAATTGGATCAATCTTGTATGACACCCACATGTCCTGTTGGCTCATTCAAGAAAGTGTGGTTTTAATGATGCCCACGAAAGACACAAACATTTGTCCTTCAAGAAATACCAAGGTTAAGGTGACTCCAGTAGGCCACAGTCCTGAACTCACGTAGCTGGAGGGACCTCCGGGATCATGCAGAGAGGAGTTCGGACCTTTTCTTTTGGTACAGGGGTAAATTCTTTCACATCTCAGAATACCTGAGGGCCTCACTCTGAACCTTTAGAATTTTGGGGGGCTTTTTTGCACTTGCTGAACATGATCACATAGAACCACAGTGTTAGTGCAGTTGTGCGTTGGACATGGTTGCTGTGTGGTTATGTGCTGTGTCGTGATGAACCGTATGCGCAGTGCTGGTCCCATAAGATTATAATGGAGCTTGTGGGGGAGGAGAAACTCTCCTCTACTCTCAGGGTTCTTCTGTTGGTCTAATAATAGACATGGAACAGATTAGCAAGATAAATACCAAATTTAATACATACTATGGATGAAGGAAGGGCCACATACTAAGCCTGACAATCAGCGGAGGCCTGCATGGCAGGACTTATGAACTGAGAGACCTAAAGTCAGCACAGAGGACGGTCTGAAAAGAAACTTCCTAACTAAAAGCGAGTCATGACAGGTAGTCATGTCCTAGGCCAGTATCTTCCCTGACAAAGGTCAATCTTTACCTTGGCTGAGCCTGGCTATTGTCTTTTTTGCATCTAAGATAAAATACCTTTGGAATGTCAGCATAATCCTTTTCCACACCCCTCAGGGCACCATCTGCCACCAGAGCAGAGACCACAGAGCCCCTCACTGTTACCCTGTCCCTCATATACCACCTCTATGTGCTGTAATGTTACTGTCCTGTACCCACCAATGTGAAGGAAGTGTGTCTATTTTACTTTTTATCCACCAACCTCAGAGATTTCTCCCACCTCCCTAATCTATCACAAGTGGATTTTACATAATCCCCTTACATCTTCTCCTTTGATGCTAATGTGCAAAATACGGAGCACAACTGCCATTCTCTAGAGCATTTTCTCAGTCTGTTGAGATTTTGCTTCCTGGCAATTGTCATCCGTTTGACTCAAATGAATTCATAAAAATTCTCTACAGGTTTGGAGAGAATTTCTTATGTCAACAATACATATGAATGGGAATGTTAGGTACCTGAGAGAGCCAGAGACCCCACATGCAGGAGATGCTCAGACAGAAGGGGGATCTAGGTATATAAGACATTCTGATAGGGACCAGGTGAAGTGTTTCGGGGACTTCAGAGGGTCCCTGCAGGATGATAAAAACAGATGTTCATTAAATAAAGGTTTTCCCTGCCAGGTAGGTGGGTCTAAGAGGCTATTGCTGATAATCCCTTATTTGGGGCGACACCCCTAATTCAAGTTCTAGGTACTAAAGGGAGGAGCAGAAGTTTGTCTTGAACCTGAAGCTAAAATTACCTTTAGCTCAAAACAATCTACATGCCACAGAGACACATCTTGGGTGACTTCTTCTGGGTCCCCACGAGCTGAGGAACCCCTGTCACCTAGTGAAGTGGTGGCTCCCCGAGTGTCGTAGCACATACCATTGCACAGCCACTGCCCACAGTGTTCAGTACAGAAACATGCCGTACAGGTCTGTGGCCTGGAGCTGTAGGGGAGCAATCTGTCACCCCAAAATACGTCTCTTTGGCATGAGGATTATTTTAGGCTGGTTAATTTTAAGAAACAGCAGATGAGGGAGAAGTTCCAAAAACCAAGGAGAAGTTGCCCTTTGTGAAGTACACTTACGTTGGTCAGGGAGCTCTCCATTGCAAGGGCACAGCCCGGGCTATAAAAGGAAGAGAGGGGTGACTTTATCCCTGAAACCTGAGGACATGGGTCTGGGCTGTCTGTCACCACTTGAGCCAATTAGGCAGAGACAGGGTTGAATGTATATGAGCATTTATTCCAATATTGCCAGCAATATGGGAGAGCAGCAGGATCCATCCACATAAAATATGCTCTACTGCCCTCCCCCATAAGCCTGCTGCTTATATTGGGTAGAAGGATAAAGATCACATGGGAAAGGAGGAATTGCAGGCATGGGGAAGTAGGCAAGGTATAATGCCAGCAGCTTGCAAGCAGTGTGGGCTGGGGGTCGCAAAGGGCAGGTGCCTCCACGACTCCATTGTTTCAAGAACAAGGCTGTTAATCTTTCCATGAAGATAGGCAGTTCTCAGAAAAGGAGAATGGACAGCATTCCGAGGGTAATTCCCATGTCCCAGGGCGTACAACTCCCAGCCAGTTTAGAAAGTGCTTTTTCTAATTAGAACAGAGCAATCACAGTTAACAGAACATGATTAATATTTCTTATAACTATAGCTAACAATCACGGTCAACAGAACATGATCAGCATCTCTGCCCCTAACATCTCCAGAAACTCTTATCTGTGCAGAAGACAAGGAGTTAAATCCACACTACAACCTGACCCTTGTGACTGATTTTCCTGGTCACTTCCCGTTATTGACTCCCCCACCCCCAATATCTTCTGTCTTCAGCTGAAGATGGGATTTAAGGTGATGCACTCAGCCATTTTGGTGAGTTACTCTGTTTTCTTGGGTCTCTTCCATGTACACAGGAGGTATACATGTTATTAAACTTTAGTTTGTTTTTCTTCTGTTAATCTGTCTTTTATTACAGGGATGTCTCAGCCAAGAACCCAAAATGGTTAGAGGGGAAATTATGTTCCCTCCCTTACAGAGCGATAGGCTATACACCATATAGGCCAGGTGTGCAGTAGGCTGTACCACCTAAGCTTGTGTAAGTGCACTCTAGGATGTTCACACAAGGACAAAATCACCTAAGGATGCATGTCTCCTACTGTATTCCCATAGTTAAGCCATGACTGACTGACTATATGAGTTTGCTAGGGCTGCCATAACATAATACCACGGACTGGGTGACTTAAACAGAAATCTACTTTCTCACAGTTTTGGAAGCTGAAAGTCCATGATCAAGGTGTCACAGGGTTGATTTCCTCTAGGCCTTTCTCCTTGGCCCACAGCCACCCTCTTGTCTCTTGTCTTCTTATAAGGACACCAGTCCAGTTGGATTTGGGTGCATCCTAATAGCCTCATTTTAACTTAATCCCATCTTTAAAGACTTCATCTCCAAATACAGTCACATTGGGGGTTAGGGTTTCAACATATGGGGGGGGGTGGGTCACAATTCAGCCCTTAAAAGTAGCCACTTGCTCTCCTTAATTGGTATTGTGGTCTTTAATTTACCCTGAGACCTTACAAAGTTTAATATTTGTTAATGATTCCACCGGAAAGAACTGTAGCCTAGTCTATAAAAGGAGGCTTCCCTTAGAGTTGCCCAGGGGCTTACTTTACAGCCACTACCTACAGAAGAGTCCTGGCTGTGGGTCCAAAGAAATTGCACTCCTAAACCCAGGGCCATTTGGGTCCTGTTCATTTATAAAAGAGATGTTCAGATACCTTGGCTTTAGACACCCTGCTCTCTCCCTACCCCTCAACCCCTCCTCTGATGCCACAGCTCTGGGGCTCCTTGTGGGAGCAAAGGGCAGTCAAGCAGTGGCTCTCAGCTCTCTCTGCATGACCAGGCCAAAATGTTTACATTCATCTTTATTTTTCTCTCGTAGGTGACATTTCTTTATACATTACAAGTTAAATATTTGCTCACCCAGGTAATGCAGACTTTTCTTTTTCTTTGTGGGGCTAATGGGAGTTTACAGCTTTCAGGGATTGGGGGCCCTGAAAATATTCAGAGACAAGGGAGGACCAGGATGAGGAGCTCACCTGCCAGCTGCTGCCGTAATTCATCTCTTGTGCTTTCTCCTCTGTATCACTTCAGCAGGCTCTTGCCTCACCTCCCTGCTGCCAGTCTTTCCCTGGGCCGGTCGCACACCACACTACTTCTTTTACCTTCTACCTGAAATGCAAATCTGATCACCCAACTCCCTTGCTTAAAACTAACCAGCATATCCTGATAAATAAGTGGCCCATGTAAATGATTGGCCATGACCCTTGTCCAAGGCCACCTAGACCACCAGAGACAGACATGCAGCTCAGCAGTCAGGTCTTTCAACCCGCAGCATTGAAAGATCAGAGGGGCCTTGGTTTCTCACCAAACAAAGTGGCATTGAGTTCAGTGAAATCCAAAAGCAGCTGTGCATGGGCAGGCTCAGAGCAAAGCAGGCTATGAGCAAAGAAATCAGTGCCAGGTCTGCACGCTCTCCACCAAGGTTCTCTCTCCTTGGAAACTGCAAAGCTTAAATGGATGTCAATTGCTGTGTCCAGGAGCTCATGTGAAGCTTTGCCCCTGGGTTGGAAATCAAGGCTGCTTTGTTTGTGTGAAACTGACTTCAGCCCTCCAGGCAAGAGTTTTATTTTTACTGATATGATTTGACACAGCAAGATTTTTTTACAGATGTGGTTTTAGAGAACCAAGTTTCTCTGAGATAAGAAAGTAGTAGTCATTCAAAGAAGGGGTGAGATGACCCTAGAGTTGGGAGACATGGTATTTCCTATTAACTTCACAGCTGGCCTTATCTAGTCGGTTATTAAATCCTGATACATGGCAAGACAGCTGTTCACTTCCTTAGTCCAATGCCATTTTACTCTCACACCTTAAGTCTTAGTTTGAGATGCCAAATAAGACTGGATGTTTCTGCCCCTGTACTTATGGATGGAGCCAAATATGATGGAATACATTCCACATTCCAGTTTCATAGGCTCCTCTTAGATCAATTTTCCACATTTCAATATTGGTTGAGAAACTGCTGTACTTCCACCCGCAGTCTGAGGTGGAAAGTAACTGTTTATCCTTTTCAATCCCTGCTGGTCTTTGCACTCTTGTAGCCACGCCATTTCTCCTCTTCCCCCCTGCTGCCTCCCCACCTCCTGCCCACGTCTGTCTGTGGCCAGAGCTGTTCTTCGTGGCTCAGAGAGGAGGGAGAGGAGGTGCTGGGAGGGTGGGAAGGGAAGGGCAGCAAGGACAGGCGTCCACAGCTGGGGTGTCTGGCTCGCCCCGACATCCTGTCACGCAGTCCTGTTCCATGGGTCTCCAGCAGGGTGCGGTCTCTCCCCGTTTTAGGGAATCCTGCTGCCCCAGATCCTAACGGGAGTGGCAGCCAACCTCGTCAATGCCCTTGTCAACTATCTGTTTCTCCATAAACTGCATCTTGGGGTGATGTGAGTACAACCAATTCTTGGGACAGGGAGAAGGCATGACCCGCATGTGACTTTTCCAGGGAGATCGGGGAGAGTGAGACCTTTACCTGGTCGTTGTGTCCACGTGTGGACCACTCTGGAAAACATGGCCGGGGATGGAGAGTAATGCTGCTCTGGGAAGACCGTCTCAGTGCCTGCCACAGATACCCCAGCAAGGGATGGGTGCTCCCCTTGTTAAGTGAGGCTGGGGGAGGGGGAGGACGGCGCCTCCCCTCACCGGGACTGTTCTTCCCAGGGGTTCAGCACTGGCAAACTTGATTTCCCAGTTCTCCCTGGCTCTGTTCCTCTTTCTCTACATCTTATGGAAGAAACTGCATCAAGCTACCTGGGGAGGTAAATGCTGTCTTTTGTTTTCCAACCTGGACGTGGGTTGTCTGGGGTTGAGCTCCAGGCCGATTACCAGATGTGTTGTAAATGTGTCTGTGTCCCGCCTGCAGGGTGGTCCCTTGAGTGCCTACAGGACTGGGGCTCCTTTTTCCACCTGGCCATCCCCAGCATGCTCATGCTGTGCATGGAGTGGTGGGCCTACGAGATCGGGAGCTTCCTGAGCGGTCCGTGTGAGGGCAGAGGGTGATGGCTGGTGGAAGTATGGGGGCCCTGTCCAGAGCACGGTACCAGCTGTCTCTCTCCCTCAGGTATCTTGGGCATGGTGGAGCTGGGGGCCCAGTCCATCGTGTATGAACTGGCCACTGTTGTGTTCATGGTGAGTGTCCAAGATGGGTCATGTGGGGGTGCTAGATGTGTCTCTTGAAAGAGCCCTAAGATAAGCATAGGCATTCATAACATTCAGTAATAATTAGTGAAATGATTCAAGAAAGGAAAGTGTATCCTAGAACCTGAAGGGGTCCTTTGGTTGGTGGGGCCTTCCTGCGAGCTGAACAGGGTTGGGGAGCTCCAAATGGCCCGCCCGCTGCTGTCTCCATCCCCTACCACGGTTCACATCTGAGAGGTTTCACTTGATTACCATACTTGCCAAACAGCTGTCGCACACAAACGCCTTGAGGGCAGGTGGGGCATCAAGGGCGACAGAGCTGGATTTATGTCTCACCAAGCTCTGCTCCTGCCTGGGTCGGATGCTTCCACTCCTCCGTTAGACCCAAAAGAATCGGCAGCAGAGTCCGGAGCAGGCGTGTGCGCCTGTGTTCACAGCAGCATTATCCGTGGTGCCCAAACGGTGACGCAGCCCAGTGTGGGTCCACGGGAGAACGGCTTCAGAGAATGTGGGCTGTCCCCGCAGCGAGTGTTCATGAAGCCTCGAAGAGGAAGGACATGTGATACGCTAGAGAAGAGCCCCAGCTGTTAGAGGCTTTCTTTTTCCTTTGTTTTCTGAAAACATCAACTGGAAGTTCTGATGGGCTCTCTTCTCTAGCTAGCAAGAGTCACTTTAGAAAAAGGCACTGAAGCCACCGTGTGTTTTGGCATCTTTTGAGGCATCTAACACCTCAATCCCCACCCACAGATTGATATATATATATATATATTATCTTTATTGATTTCAGACGGAGGAAAGAAGAGGGAGAGAGAGATGAAACATCAATGATGAGAGAGTCATTGATCGGCTGCCTCCTGCACGCCCCCGACTGGGGATGGAGCCCACAGCCCGGGCATGCGCCCTGACCGGGAATTGAACTGAGATCTCCTGGATCCTAGGTCGATGCTCAACCGCTGAGCTATGCCCGGCTGACCAGATTGGTTATATTTTAAAACTACATTTTCTGTTTGTTTTTTTTAAAGAATCATTCCCTTGAGGACTTTTTTTTCTTTCTATTCTTGGCAGAATCTTTTAACCCGTATTTGTTACTTTTTATATTTATATATATTTTAGATTTTAGTAAGTTTAAGAACTGTATCTACTCACAATGCTAATGGTAAGTACAGGGTGTTCCATCGTATGTAGTATAAATTTTACAGTGATCTCCTGCTCCTGAATATTTAGTTTGTTTCCAATGTTTCAAGATTAATAATAACACTTTAATGAACATCTTAGGACAAATATCTTTGTATACTTGTTTGATCATTTCATTAAGACAAATTCCTAAATGGGAAATGTAATTACAGTTTTAAGTATTTTGCACACTGTATATTGCCATGTGCTTTCCAACAGGCTTATAAGAATTTATATTTGTTTTTCCCTAATCAAAAGATTTTTACCCTTTACTAATATTAACCAGTTGTTTATATTTCACCACATATACTTGCTTGCACTGCCTATCTATGTATCTGTCTATCTACCTATCTCCCCAATTTGTATTCAAATTCCTTCCATTGTTCTGATACTGTCCTTTATAACTTACCCCCCTGGCATCCAGGCGCCTGCCTCTTCAGTGTCCTTTAATCTAGAACAGATCCTCAGCCTTTCTTTGTCCTTCTTGGCCTTGAGCTTTTAGAAGAATAGAAGCTATTACATGCAGACTTTCCCTCAATCTGTTGTTGCTGATTCTTCTTCATGAACACATTCTGACTCTACATTTGATGTGGATTTGATATAGGAAGCAATTAGACAGACATGAGCCAAGTAGAAATGATAAGACAGGTACGGCCCGGCCGGGCGTGGCTCAGCGGTTGAGAATCAACCCATGAACCAGGCGATCAGGGTTCGACTCCCGGTCAGGGCACATGCCCAGGTTGCGGGCTCCGTCCCCAGTAGGAGGCATGCAGGAGGCAGCCCATCAATGACTCTCATCATTGATGTTTCTCTCTCTCTCTCTCCCTCTCCTTTCCTCTCTCTGAAATCAATATATATATTTTTTTTTAAAAAGCAAAAAAAAAAGTCAGGTATGGAAGGTCACCAGTGAGGAAAGCCCTGGGTGCCTAGCCATGGACAACTTGTAGGGTGAGACCTCACCCCCAGGGTGACCTTTCCTCCCTTAGCATGTCGCTGGTCATGCAGTAGACCCCCTTAGAGGAGGAACAAGGGAGCCAGAGAATAGCCTCATACGACTCCCATACTAGTCCTTTATGGCCATGCTAAGCATTAAGCCCCAGACATAACATCTAGGTCTCAGTTGTGTTTCAGCTCCAGGCCAGGTGGGGTGATGCCCTGGCTGACACCAGGACCCTTGCCCTGGTGCCAATTAATCAGTAGAGACTATGACCCTGAAAGGACACACCCTGAAAGAAAAACTGATGAATATTCTGAACTCAAAGACAAAGGACTCAGTGTGCACTCTCTCTCTCTCTCTCTGGGGCACGCAGGTGCCTCTCCCTTCTTCTCCCAGGCGAGTTATCTTTGCCTTTCTCTCTCCTAAGCAATAAGGGCCCTTCCTCTGCCTCTGTAACTTGTTTCCTGAGCCCACGAAGCCCAGATGGCTCACTTCTTCCACGGTTAACTTCTTCTACCTTTGTGACTTTCTAAGTAAGCTTTCTCTTATAATTTGAGCCCCCTGGCTCTGGATTCTTTCCCAGCCAAACTCAAAAACTGACGTTGCTGAACCAAGGTCTAACATCTCGTGGCATTTCACAAATTTGTCCCATTATTGGTGATATTAACTGACTGCTTGGTTAAAGCACTGTATGCCCGGTTTCTCCACCGTCAAGACACTCTCTTTTTCATTGTGATTAATAAATAATTTATTAGGAGATCCATGTGTTTGCTCCCACGAGGGACTAGTCTCCCATTTCTTTTATATACCTCACTCTGTCAAATTTTCTATAGCTCTGTCCTTTAGCGATCCTGATTGTAAGGCAAAATCCGTGTCTAAATGAGTGATAAATCTTTTTCCTTGATTAATACTAATTTCTCAAGTGGCAACTTTTTAGATAATAGTAATGGCTAATTTTTACTGAGCAATTACTATGTGTGATGCTCTCTTCTAAGTAGTTAGCACGTGTGAACTCGTTTAATCCTGAGAATAACGCTGATATGTAGGCACTATGATGAGGTCTCTTTCACAGATAACAGCTCTTTCTCTAGTGAGGGTAAGCAGCCTGCCCAGGGTCACACAGCTGACAGGTGACTGAACCAGGACTTGAACCCAGCAGCCTGGCTTCAGGAGTCCTGTTCTAACCGCTAGGCCATGCTGCCCTCCTGCATCGCCTTTAGCACCGCCTCTGCCCTTGGGGAAGGCAGCGCTGCTCTCAGCTTGCTATGCGTCTTTCTGTTTTCATAAGTTCTTCTTATTCAACATTTGCGGGGGGGAGGGGCCGCCGTGTTAGGATTCTGTCTTCTGAACTTGCTCCCTTGACAGTCTTTCGGAGCAGACCTATCCTGGGCTCCTGGCAGGCCACCCTTCCACACCCAGAGGGCCAGTGTGACCGCAGGGCCTCCCAGCGCCCGGGGAGGAAGCTCTGTAGAAAAGCCAGGCTTCTGACAAGGATCACAGCCCAGGGCTCCAGGTTCCATGTTAGCTTGGGGGCTTCCAGCCAGACACAGGATGTTGCAAATTACTCTTCTTATAACTTTAGGACCAAGCTTGACCAATGAGGAGTGAAGCGCGATGCACCTGGTCCCTCTTCTCGGGGCAGGTGCATGGAGGCTCAGGGCGGAGCTGGGAGGCAGGGCTGCTTTCCTGTTCTCATGTTCCCTTCTCCTTGTAGGTACCTACAGGCTTCAGCGTGGCAGCCAGTGTCCGCATTGGGAACGCGCTGGGCGCTGGGAACATCGAGCAGGCCAAGAGATCCTCCGTGGTCTCTGTGCTGGTCACAGGTGCTTCAACTTTTCAGTCAATGACTCACCTGAGCCTCGGTGCCTGGGAAACTCGGGCTCCCGGGAGTTCCCTGCAGACTTCCTTTTTCATGGCTGTTTCTCTGTCATTTTACCTGCAGAGCTCTTTGCTGTAACCTTTTGTGTCCTGCTGTTAAGCTGTAAGGACCTTGTGGGGTACATTTTCACCACTGACGGGTGAGTGCTGAGATGTTCTTGAAATGTGAAGTCTGTGGTAGAGATGGTCGGGCAGATGCATTAGCACTGGGCCTCCTGGGGGTGTTGCGTCTTAGAGGGTTCCTGCGTCACCTGCAAAATCAGAAACTCACCGATGTTACCTGGGAAGAACGGATTAGGTGAAGGAGCTAATTTATAGCCTAGAGTGCAGATTTATTGGGCACCAGTGGTGATGTATGCTTCTGGTTTTCATCAACACTGAACAAGCCCAGACCGTGATAAGAATTGTTGCCTGTGAGGGGAGGTGATGGCAGTGGGAGGATTGGGACACCAGTGGAAGAAAGAGTCTCCTTGATTTCTTTTTCATATTGTTTGATTTCTTTTAACCATTTGCACGCTACCTATTCAAAAGATAAAATGAATTTTGAATAAAAGAACTGTATTTCTGCCCTTTATTGGTGAGGGTAATCATCTTGTTCAGGGCCAGATTAATTCATTCAACAAATACTTATTGCCAGACGATGTTCTAGGTTTATTTGTTAGTTAATCGAAAATACGATGAATTTTTTGCCTCTCCAGGTCATGGCAGCATTTTTCTAGTCTCCCTTAGAGTGTGGGCATTAAAATCCAGGTCTCTAGCTTTAGAGGTTAGGGCCCATTCCTGGGAACCAAAGAGAACTCTGTAAACTGTACCTGTGTATTTATAACGTGCCAGCCTCAGTTCCATAGAGAGAAACTTGATTCTTCTGTTGTGCTTCATCCAAACATACGGAAAGACATGTGACGCCAAACCACTTGCCTTAACTGTCTATAAATCACGAGATACAGTGTAGAGCTGGTTTCCTCTACAGGCCAGGAAACACTAGCATCGCCCCTGAACGGGATGAAGCCTCTTCAGTTTTACACAGAAACCGACGGCAGTCGCCAGGAACTGTAGAGTTTACTTTTCCAAACCTGTCTCCTGACCACTATGTGCTTTCTTTTCCTAACAGAGAAATCGTCGCTCTGGTGGCTCAAGTGGTTCCAATTTATGCTGTTTCCCATCTCTTTGAAGGTCTTGCTGTAAGTCTTAGGCAGTAGCCCCGTAAGCACCTTTACGATCTATGTGTTTCTGCTGCTGATGGGAAACTGAAACAGAGAAGGGGGGAGGTAGGTAATCGTGAATATTTTTGTATCTGCTTTACAAGAGCACTGGCCTGGAAGAGGCCCACGGAGGGCGCAGCCTGGGGATCAGGGTCTTTCAGAAGCTGCGGCGTTGCCCCCACTGATGGACGTTGTCTGCCCACAGTGCACAGGGGGTGGCATCCTGCGGGGAAGTGGAAATCAGAAGGTCGGAGCCATCTTTAATGCCATTGGGTACTACGTGATTGGCCTCCCCATCGGGATTTCGCTGATGTTTGCAACCAGACTGGGAGTGATGGGTAAGCTCGCACCCGGGGCAGGCAGAGCTGTTCCTCGTGGCCCTGAAAGGCTGTCAGAGCCTGTAGGCATCCACTGAGAGCTCTGGAACTTTCCAGCTTTTCCATTTCATTCCGTGTCCTGTCAGAGAGACCAGGGAGGGGCAGGAGGGAGCCAGAGGCCCGGGGCCGCCTGTTCGTGCCCGCTGCCCAGGTGGACCCTCTTCCACGTTTACAGCGTGAGTGGAGCACGGTGACCCTTCTACTCATCTCCCTGTCCCACGCCATCGAGCGCCCACCTCCTCAAAGGTGTTGTGCAGGGACTGCGGCCGAAGCCTTCAGGAATGTGCCTCTGTGGCTCGCGCTCTGCCCTTCGGCAGCAGCCCTGTATGGTGAGCCCCCTAGAGCAAGTCTGCCCGACTCGCCGGGCCACCAGAAACGGGCCATACTGGAGTGCTGGGGCCGAGGCAGGGAAGCCACGGGACGGCCTCGGTGTGATTCTTACAGAACTGTGGGAGCATCTGCGGTGGCTTTTTACATCCTGGAGCAATGCCCGTGTCTTAGCCAGTGCACCTGGCAGCGTTCACAGAGGGCGGTGCATAGGGAACGATCCTAGAGCTGTGCCTTCAGTGTCACCTTCATCACCATTCTGCAAGCTGCACCTCCAGCCCGGTACAACCTTTTAAGCCATGAGTCTTGCGGGTCTCCCCATAAGGCTATGGGTGTGATGTGTGAACAGCACAGAAGGCAGGCAGGGGTGGAGGGGACCTCTTCATCACCTCACCACATTTGGGGGAAAGAACTTAATCTGCAGGATATGAAATTACCAGAGCTAATTTTTTAAACAGTAGGGAAAGAAATGGCTGCCCAACTTTGGTTTCTAAAATAATAATCTGGAATACATTGGCAATTAACAATTAATTCTATTAATGTTTGAACGTATTGTCTTTGGACGCCGCCGTGGCTGACGCAAGCCTGGTTTGTTTTCATCCACCAGCATTTGGCAGGTTCACAGGCGGTGAAAAGTCATCTGATACCTAGAGTGAACTTGCAGTCCAAAGTGTCCCAGTAGGTTGCACATTTTTTTCTCAAGTTCAATAATATTTTAATGAAAAATACATAAGATGTACAAAGAATGAAGTTGCCAATGCAAAGTTCACTGGGCTTGCATTGTGGTGCAGAAAATTATTTAGCTGAGTTTCTGGCATTACTCATATTTCAGATTTGACAATGGCAGAGCTAAGGGCAATATTAAAGGAATCCACTTAGAAATATAGATGCATCTATGTTCCGAGTGCTGTACTAGGTCCACTAATTCATTTAACAAACATACCTACTATGTGCAAAGTACAGGCAGTGAAGAATCACTGAAAAGAAATGCTGGGGTCCAAACTTCTAGTTATAAACTATGTAAGTCCTGGGGATGTGGTGACTATAGCTTACTATACTATATTGTATACTTGAAAGCTGGTAAGAGAGTCTCTCTCAAAAGCTATCATCATAAGAAAACACTGTAACTATGTGTAGTGATGGCTTTTACCAGACTCACTGAGGGGATCATTTACAATAGTTGACCCTTGAACAACATGTATTTGAACTGTGCAGGCTCATTTATATGGATTCTTTTTCAATAAATACAGTCAGCCCTTCATATCTGCAGATTTCGCATCTGTGGATTCAACCAACCGTGGGTCAAAAACAGTACTTTTGTATTCCCAGTAGCATCTTCCCAGCTGTGGACTGAAAACACTGTTTTGACTCGTGGTTGGCTGAATCTGAGGGCCACCTGTGGGCAAGTTTGGGAGAGTTGAGACTTACACGCAGATTTCGGACTGTGCAGGAGTCTGTGCCTTCACTCCCCACACTATTCAAGGGTCACCTGTCTATATAAGTATTGAATCAGTATGTTGTCCGCTGGAAACGAATATAATGCTATGTGCCAATTACATCTCAATAGAAATCGTTGGGGAATATGGGGAGGTGGGGGCTCTGTGACAAGACAGCAGTCAGTCTCTGCCACCCACTACTTAAAAAATAAAAGTGTAGTGCTAACTGGGTTTGAGTACTGTGTCGCCTCTGGTAGGGCTGGCAGTGTCCCTGCGCAGGGTGCCCAGAGGCGCGTCAGAACGCCGCAGGTTCCCATGGGCAACTGCGGCCACTCATGAGGACCATCAGAATTCCCTGGAGGCTTTTCAGATACAAATTCCTGGGTCCGGCCCGGGACTCTCATCCTCATCCTGTCTTAGGGCTCTTAGGTTGAGTCAGATGGCAATCTTTTAAATAGTGTATCATGAAATTCCTGGAAATCTAATTCATAACTTTCAAATTGCAGCTGGAAGATGCTTTTAAAGATGGTCAGGGTGAGCTTGTAGTTTCTATGGATTGGGAACAGTGGATTGGATATATACGTGCTTTTATCAGTCCATTACAGGAGTGGCGGGTAGTCACTAGCTTTATTCTAAATATCAGGCTGATCACACCTGAAAATGTGATATGGGAGTGACTGATTCCAAGGAACAGAGTTGTAACAAACAAACCTACTAACAAAACACTGAATCTGGGCACATCTACCTTTAAACCATTAACCCAGCCTGGCCACCTTACCTTTATTTACCCAGATTCAGAAATAAGCAAAGACGAACCCACTGAGACCAGCAGGGGCCATTTACTCAGAGCTTGCTCTAACAGGCCCTCAGCCACCCGCATTGCGTTTAGGCAGAGACTTAGGGGCAGGCGCAGGAGTGGGAGAGCTTTACAGTGGGACAGAGGGAAGGCTCGGGGGCCCTGATGGAGGCTGTCGTTCGGGGAAGCTGGAGGCAGGCTCACTAAGAGAGGCGTCCTGTGTGATTGGTCAGGGGTGCGTGTTTGGCTTTCCCTGGCTGGCCCTAAGTTGGAAGCAGGGACAAAATTTAAGGAAGCTGTCAGTTATTGACCAAGTTCTGGCCATTTTGGGTCAATTGTTGCAGAAGTTATTATTTCCTTTCCTAGGCTGTCCCTAGCAATAGCCATCTGGCCTCCCCAAGACTAAAGCAGAGCAGACTGGCTTTCTGGGATGCATATTGCAGATAAGGGTCAGTTTTGGGGACAGGTTGCTTTAGGCTGTGAGTCGAAGTTCTATTTTTCATATGATTTGACCTTTGTCTGTATATTTATTCTCTCACAGCTGTGGTTAGAGTTTCTGATGGCATCAGTTCACTGTGGACCAAAACCCCTCGTCCCTTGGGGTCTCCCTCTGCTTTTGTGTGGGTTTATTAGGTAGAATAGAGTTTGTTTGGAACTTCGGGATCTACAAGGCTTTTCCCATCTGCCTGGCCCACTCAGCCCCTCCTCCTGTGGAACCGTCTCTCGGCAGGTAGCCCTCTGCAGGGAGCTCCCGAAGTTTGCGCCCAAAGCAAGTAAGATTCTGCTGGTAGCTCCCAGGGAGAGAGCTTTAGTGCTTCAGGCGGCCGCTCACGGCTGCACGAAGTGTTGGCTCCCTTTTTTGGGTACGACAGGGCATAGCAGTTTGGTGGTACTATTAGAAATAGGAAGTTGTTGGTCCTGGAAATTTCCTTTCCTTATAACTGTCAATTTTCTTAATATGATTCTGAACATTTGTTCTGCGATCCAAACCCCAAGAAGTAGCCTCAGGGAGCCCTGGGCCTCCCAGAACCTTCGGAAAACAAACGGAGACAGCAGGATAGAGGCCTCAGGCTCAACCTCAGCCTGGGAATCAGATTCCAAGAAGATAAGAGAAACATACTCCCCGACGGTATCTGGCTTTCCATTGCATTAACCTCTATTAAATATTTCCACTTCCAGGCCTGTGGGCAGGGATCATCATCTGTACCATCTGTCAAGCTGTGTGTTTTCTAGCCTTTATTGCTCGGCTAAATTGGGGGAAAGCCTGTCAACAGGTAACTATGCTTATTGGCGACTTCTCCTCCCCCTCCTGGCCCCCT